AACTTTCCTCTTTGATACCTAGACTTTATATACGCAGTACCAGATTGACAACAAGGTCTCATCGTTTTACAGGTGGATGTAACCGTAAGTTCTATGCTAACAGTATCTTCTCTTGTTCTTCTTGCTTGCAGAACTCTCTTCCGGCTTCTTACCTCTCAATCAATTTTGATCCTCAAAAGTTTTAATATAATGTCAATCGTTATCTTTTATCTCCTTAAATCCTCTTCTTTTATTGTTCTCTCTCCTTAAGAGTGTTTTTTATTGCACCTTCTCGGACTAACGTTTTTCGCTGATATGAAGTGGAAAGAGTATATTGAATCAATTGCTATGTCAACTGATAGGAATGTTTGTTCACTATGTTGAGCTTGACAATGTTTCTCGACAGGATCTATTTTACATATTTACTATTCATCTTTACTTTGCATATTGTTGCCACATTTGGGCCGGTGCTCCTGCTAAATATTTAGAGATTCTTGATAAATTCCAAAAGAAGAATCTGCAATATTATTTGTCTTGATCTTGCATCTTGGCACCAGTCACTTTCCCACTGCCATAATATAGCTTTCCTGTACTTTTCTATAAATGGTAATTGCTCTGATGAACTTCCTTCTATGGTACCCAGACTTTATGAATTTAAGCGCAGTACTAGATTGTTACAGTAGAAATTGATCGATGTAGCCGCAACTCCTATGTTAGCAGTTTCTTCTATCACATTTCTCGCTTGTGGAACTCTCTTCCGGCTTCTTCCTTCCCAGTCAACTTTGATCTCCCAAAACTTAAATGCAATACCAACCGTTATCTACTCTTCCAGCATTTTTGCTAACCGGTCAATTTTGATTTACAAACATTTAAATGCAATGTCTATCATTATCTTCTGTCTTCTTAATGCCTGTATTTTTATTCTCTCTCCTTAATAGTATATTTTTCTCATATTCTCTAACACTCAGTAACGCTTTATGTCTTAGTGACTTTATTGCCTTGTTTGTATTGAAATGGCTGAACAAATGTTGGGTTGTTCGTTTTACTAACAACCATGAAATCTGTGTTCTTTGCAATCCCTGAATCTGTTAAGAGACATGATTTAATATTCCATCAAATTATATGTCACTTTGCTTACCAGGAAATAATTGTTATCGAATGGTACGAAAGTTTTCCCTCATCAACAATATTATACCTTCCCTTTTACCAATTATTTCTTATCTCGCAGCCTCGAGAACCTCCTGGGCAATGTGGTAGAAGAAAGCGAGAAAGAAGGACTAACTATCATCTACAGGAAAACAGAAAGTAATATCATCAGCAGGAGATAAAGCCCAAGATTTAAGTTACGAAATAGAGATATAAGCATCAAACAGGTGCAGAAAATTAAAATATCTGGGAAATTTTTTAACAGCAGATGGAAAATGTGACACCGAGATCCGAAGTATGCATTGGACTAGCGAAAGAAGCATTCCTAAAGCCAAGCAAAGTGGTGAGAAACGGAAAAAAATTCGTTAGAAACAAAAAGAAAAGGGTGGTAGATGTGGTATCCAACGTCTTATTTTTTTTATCCGTACGGATAATAATAATAATAAAAACTGGAGACAGCAGAACTGTGGTTCTACAGAAGGATACTGAAAATTCTATGGACGGGGAAAGTAAGCAACAAGGACCGTCTTAAAGAAAATGGCCACAGAAAGAACACATAACTGAAGACGACTGAAATTCCTTGGACATATAATGAGGAAGGAATGCTTGGAAAATTTAACCAACTTGAGGGCAATCTCTGGGAAGGCAGCGACTCATTCAGCTTGTATAACTGGATGACAGAACGGCGTGGGATGGGTCTAGCCTCAGCAAATGGAGAAAAAACTGCTAAGAGCCACATGAGATAGGAAATTGTGGAGAGCCATGATCGCCTATGTCCTGAAGGGGACGCGGTAAATAGAAGAAGAATCTGCCCAGATTAACGCCCTCTCAAGAATATAAGCATACATAATTAGCGAATGGTCTTTACATGGTAACATAAGCCGTTTCCTTTTAAGGAAACATTCAGAATTCATTGACCGAGCAGCCAGTTCCCAGCAATATTTTTAACAATATATACTGCATTCTTTATTAACTCACCGTTGTCTGCAATGTTTAAAGTGTATTGCGTCATAACATTGGCAGTTTGCCTGTAGCATCAATTCAAAGAATTATCGATAATTTTGAGTTTCCATTAGAATCCAACTTATTTTTAAACGAGTGAAGGAGGTTTCTAAATGTCTATTGATTGCCTACAAAATGGCAATGGAAATATTATCAGTTTCAATATAAGGAAACATTTGGTAATCATTGACTGAACAGCCAGTGCTAATATTAAGGATTGTAGGTGGGGTTATTACTGACATTATTTTATTTAGTTTCATGTAAATAGTTTTCATTCATATTGTAAATACACATTGGGGTACAGATTTTAAATTGTTGTTATTTTCCCTTCCCCCACAGACAGGAGTTATATATATATATAGACTAGTTAAAACTTCATAGAGACAATGAGGTATTATGGTGGATGTAAGAATGTTAAGTAAGAATTTTTTTTTTGGGTAAGGATTATTGTGATTCGTTTGGGTCAGTGATTGTGGCTAGATAAGTTTAATGTTAAGACAGAAGAAAACCATCATTTCCCCATTCCCCGTTTCGGTTTGGTTTGTTTTACGGCATATCAACACCTCAATGGGTTATTTAATGCCGACAATATTTTTATTGCCGGTAATATTTTTTCCGAAAATTATTTCTGGTAATATTTTTTTCCAAAAAAGTGTTGTTGGTAATTTTTTTCGAAAATTTATTGCTCGTAATAATTTTTTTTACAAAAATGTGTTGCTGGTATTAAAGTCTGTTTTTACACGTTTTGATCCCAGATTGGGGGTTAATTATTTACCCATAGCTGGGACCCTAACTGCTGCTACCACCCCGGGTCATGGTGGACCTTGGAACACCAGCAATTAAGAGGAGGTTTCACACTCCTCAAAACCTCCTGATCAGAGGCATTGCTGCTGGACGTAGTTTATCGTCATACCCAGGACGCCACATTTTAGCCGTGTGCCACATTTTTTATATATTATACAAATAAATATTGCAGCTAGTGCTACTCGATTTACCCTTTTCTTCAATTATTGGCCGTTGGGCTAGAATCAAAGTGTAGTATCTGTTCTCGTTATCCCTAATGATAATGGAAATATTATCCGTTTCATTCTAAGGAAATATTCGGTATTCATGCGAGCTATCGTATGTAGTGGTTGTTATTCTCATCTCTAATGGTATTGAAATATTAACCGTTTCATTATAAGAAAGCTTTTCGTATTCATTAACTGTATATAAAGTACAACTCGAGTTGAGCTTTTTTTTACTCCTCGGCTTTCGGGCTGTGATCAATGTGTAATATGTTTTCGGAAGGACTACATTTGATCTCTCTCTCTCTCTCTCAAAAGTGTGTTGCTGTCTTCGAGCAGAACACAACAAATAAATGAGGTATCTCTGGTCCCTGGGACTCCAACCCTGAAACAGCACCTCCCTCACTGCACCAAAGAGAAGGCGTTGGGGAAATATCGGCGTTGGTTGAGGAGACCGGATAATTTTTGGACTTGGACCATTTGCTTAGACTCCCCATTTTAAACCGGCCATGGGACATACCCCATCGCCGTGTTGTTGTTGTTGTTAGTGGTGGTGGTGGTGGAGAGGGCAATAAATATCAAGAGTAGTACCTGTTCTCCCCATCTCTAATGGTATTGTAATATTTTGTCTATGAGGAAACATTTGGCATTCATTGATGGAGAAGCCATTGCTACTGCCGCTTGCAATGTACAAATTCTTTCTAATAAAACAATTCTTCTAGAAAATTATTTTTCAACTCAGAAAGGACATGTAGAATCAAAAATAGACATTTGGAATTTCTGGATGACAAAAGGCAGTATTGTAGCATACCTACGGACGATAATGGGTATGTCCCAGTCATATAAATACAGTAGTAAATACTGTATGTTGGTCTGCAGTTGGAGATTCATTCCCAGTTCGGCTGGTCAAACTCTCTTCCTCCGGGCAGAAAGAATCCCCAGACGAGGCTATGTCGAAGAGCAGAGTCTCGTTACGGGAAACAGCTACTCAATCTCGTTTTATACGGGGTCTACGGGGAATTTTTTGGCCGAACCTCCGGACTCCGATACCCCACATTAAATTCGGTGTTGTGCCACATCTGACCGCGTGGAGTGGTTAGTAAATATCCTGTAGTTGGAGATTCGTCTCCAGCTGTACTGGTCAAACTCTCTGCCTCTAGACAGAGAGGATCCCCACACGAGGCTATGTCGAAGGGCAGAGTCTCGTCTCCGGAAACAGCTACCCGACCCCGTTTTATACGGGTACCCCACATTAAATTCTGACCGCGTGGTGCGGTTCGTAGATATCCTACAGTTGAAAATTCATTGTGGCATTCACTTGACTCACTTCTAGCAGTTGACTACTACTTTTACGCGCCGCTGACGAATCATATATGTGTTGTTCTTGTCCTATGTATTATCGTTCATTACCAACCTACGTGTGATTATTCTATTCAGTAACCTTCCCTAAGTTACGACAGACAGTATGAAGTATTTGATACTCACAGAACATCCTATTGTGGGTTAGATGAACATGGAAACGTCGAGTAACATACTTGACAAGCTTCTTCAGATGGATGGCAGAATATGAACTGGAAAGCAAAAGTAAAATAACAAACATTGATACAACGATAATAAATTTTGATTGATTTGTTTCTTACGATTTATCAAACTTTTTTTAGTTTATTTAAATCCGAAACATATTTTGGTATTGTAAGAATTTTTTGAGATAATAATGAGTTTCTGATACAATTATTATTATTTAACCTTTAGCTGGGAAGTAAATTGTAAAGAGCTTCTTCTTCTTCTTCTTCTTCTTCTTCTTCTTCTTCTTCTTCTTCTTCTTCTTCTTGTATCTTTCTCTTCCTAAAGAATTACTGTGGCTTACGGACGTATCACGTTGAAACACCGGTTTCCGTACGATCATTGAAAGTTAAGCGACGTCGAGCCTGGTCAGTACCTAGATAGGTGACCGCTTGGGGATACCAGGTTCTGTAAGCTTGGATGTGCAGGTCGTGTAATGGTTAATGGTTTAGAAGTGTTAAGCGGAGAATCGTGTTCCAGTTCCGGTCGGGTTCGTCATTTTCACTTACGTGCAAATACCCTTGGGAAAGTCATGAATCCATCTCTCCTCAGCTATGGGTTAATTAGTAAGACATGAATCACCGAATCATTATTACCACCCCGCCCCCTCCAGATAAAATTCTTATAATCTAAAAATATTTTCTGGCTTTAAATAACCTGCAAAGTGTAGATAAGCCGTAGAAAACGAATCTATCAATCAATCAATTTAAAGAATTAATGAATTTTTATTACTTTAAAGTTTATTTTTAATGGACCCCTCCATTGGGTCTCTTCGTAGCCGAGGGGTCTAAAACACATCGGACCAGGTGGTGGTTCTGTCTACGAAGGAGGTTGCAGGTTCGTATCCTGTACACTATCTCTAGTAATTTGTCTTGAATGTGCAAAACAGTAGATATAGTAAACATTGTTAAAATATAAATGGTGCGTTCTACTAAAATATTGGTATCCACTAAGAATAATGTTTGAAGTAATAAAAATCTCTCTCTCTCTTTTTAAACTTTCTTTCTTTTTCTCTCTCTTTTCTTTTTCTCTCTCCCTCTCTCTTTCCGTCTTTCTTTCTTTTATGAACTTTCTTCATACTAGTTACATAAATTCAAAATGGTTTCCATTTGTACCCATTTCCTATCTGTTTCTTTTATTTATCTCTCTCTCTCTCTCCCACTTCCTCGCTCTTCCCCCTCTCTGTTTTAACATTATTCTTCATAATAATTATAATGAAGCTAATTTCTTTATCTCTTTCCCTTCTTTCTGTCTTGCTTATCTTTCTACGTCTCATCCCAGTTCTCTTTTGCCTGTGAACTTTCTTCATATTAATTATCGTAATTCCCCATGTCTAATACGTATTTTTTTCTAAAAAAAAAAAATAAGCAAACTCAAGGGTGCGTATTATGCATAGCTACAAAAAAGTTTGCCGTAAAATAAAATAAGAATTATCATAAAACTAAATTAGAATAATATTATTCTTTGTTTACATCATTTTTTAAAAAAATAAAAGTAGGAAACGCTGGCCGTAATGAAATTGGAGGGGTACAGTTTATAGGGTTTGATTGCCAAACAAGTGGTGCGTATTATACATGAATAGAAGCATTTTCCCAGACTTTCAGCATAATTTTAGGTGTGCGTATTATGGATGAAGGCGTATTATACATGGGGAATTACGGTATATCAGAATTCCTTTACTGTTTACTCTCCTTATAGATTTCGTCTCTGTCTATCCCACTTAAAATAATTTTCTACTCACTTTTCTATCTTTCTTTTCTCTCTCTTTCCCCTGCTTATTGACCTTATTGGTAGCAATAATATGCTAGTAAAATCCTTTTTCTCTTTACTCTCCAAATATCTTTCTTTTCTATATACCTCTCTTTCTATCGCTTAACTTTATTGATAGCAATAATATCCTATCAAAATATTTTTCTCCTTACTCTCCTCGTATCTTTCTTTTCTATATCCCTTTCTCTCTCTTAGCTTTATGGATATTACTCTTATTTTATTAAAATCCCTTTCCTCCTTACTCTCCTTCTATCTTCCTTTTCTATCTTTCTCTCTTTCCCTCTCTTATTAACTTTATTGATACCAATAATATCCTAACAAAATTCTTTTCTCCTTACTCTCCAAATATCTTTCATTTTCAATATACCTCTCTTTTTCTCTCTTATTTATTTTATTGATAGCAATAATATTCTATCAAAATATTTTTCTTCTTACTCTCCTCGTATCTTTCCTCGTTTCTCCACCACTTTCTCTCTTTCATGTGCATTTTCTTCTTATCAATTATGGCATATCAAAATTCTATCTCCTCACACTTTCGGCTTTTGTCTGTCTATCTCTCTGTCTGTTTCTCTCTCTTAGTTTATCTGCCTTTCTCTCCCTGTCTTTCTGCTTCTCTTTTTCTCGTATACCCCTCCACTTTCTCTTACGGTCTCAACTGGCCTTCTTACCTCTGTTCAGAGATGCTTTCACTGCTCACCCTCAAATCGTCTCCGTCCTAATTTATTACCCTTCGCTACAGCCGAGGAATGTAGCTACAGGTTGCTTTCTTTCTATCTATAGTCTTACAAAAGACAGACGAGAGATTCACGACCAGCGCATCCAGTAAATGCGAATGCCTACAATAATGCGATAATAAAAACAAAAAAAAAAAAAAAACAACTAATAACAATACTGATGTTAGAGAATCGAGATAAATAGAAACATTCTGAAAGCCATGAAATATTTGGCAAGCAGACAAAATAATCAGGCAGCTAGATACATCGAGATTGGACCTTTGCATCTCCATTCTGGTGTCGCTGTTACCGTCAGAGCCATGCAGACAGACCGTTGCTGTGGTGATGTGTAGCAGCAGCGAAAGTAGTGTGGTAAAAATTGTTGCTGTAAGTAAATATCCAGTTAAAAAGAATTATATTTAAGGAGACTTAAAAAGAAAAGAAAAAGAAATCTCCTTAAGGGGGTAAAATTTAAAAAAAAAGAAGAAAAATATAAGAGAAAGACCAAAGGTATAAGATTCCAATGACCACGCTAGTTACCATCGATACAGCATAGTATCCCATCATCTACGACTGCTAGAGGACCTGCTCTGGTGTTCTGTCTATTTAATAAGATTTAGCCTATTCTTTCTCTCCAAACAAAACTCCTTTTTTTTCTTCCAAATGAGAAATAAAAGAAAGCCGTATCCTGATCGAATATCGCTGCTGTTCAACAAGAAAAAGATTAAAAAAATTCTGCAACAATTTTAGAGGGTGATATATATGTATATATATATATATATATATATAGATTACGCACCACCCACTCATAAAATAACAACCCCCTAAAACAACCAAAATATTTATCCACATATGAGCACACTCCAGAAAATATATGTATACGTCGGCAGTTTTGTGTACACATCTTTTATATCTTCTTTAAAAATGCAGGTTTGAAAGTGATACGATAAGGTAGAAAATATTCCTATCTCCATGACAACGTGCGTTTTATTTAGATATAAACTTTATATATGTTTATTGGCTGGGAAGGGGAGTATCTTAATGGAATTGGATACGTACGTATGAGAAAGACGATCCTTCTGAGGAGATAAACAGGAACATTACAGGAATTGGCTATTTAATTAAAAAAAAAAAATAGGCAAAAACAGTCATTTTTCAAAATTCTTTGATTAATTCGAGAATTGGACAATACAAATTACCAAAGACCACATCAACATTCTTGGATATTTTTTTTTCATCTTCTTTCTGACCAACATCGGACATTTTAGCGAAAATATCCGCCTGCAAAGGTAGGCCTGATATTTCTTTTTTTTTTTTTTAATTTTTTTTTTTTATTAAATTTTATTATTTAAAATGACATTTTGTGTCACTTTTTCGATGTTTGTTTACCTTCCTCTAATTAAACAGCCTACCCAGATTTTCTTAAATTACCGTATTTAATAGCATATAAACTTATGACATTATATAAATGTTTCACATCACACTGATATTAAATTAGTCTAATTACAAGTACTTGTGGTCTATATGCAAAGTGGCAAAATATTAACTTTTGAGATATCAACTTCACACATTAGAACCTGGTGAAATAATTTGAACCATTTACTGGGAGGAGTGGGAAGAACTGGTGTATTTATGACATCAACCACTGCAATTTACAGAGTGCATTGTTTGAATTTCTTATAATTTAGGGGACGGGAGAAGGTTAAGATGTTATTTCCTTCATTAAAATTTACGCAAAGAAGCATATTTTATTCACAGTATTTTTTTGGGGGGAAGAAAATACCATTATTCCGATGCAAATGGAAGGAAATGAGTTAATTAATAAAACGTATAGGAAGAAACACTCGCGTTGTTTCTATAATGATATGTAATATGTCTGTATCTGAGAATTTTCAAACTACGCCGATGAAATGCTAGACGAAGGGTGGGCTGTCTGGTGGTTCCGTCTGTCAGTGATTGGGTTCTTTGGGGTGTCTGTATATTTGAATATTGGGATGTGAACTGTTTGATTCGTATACGTTTAGACTCGCGTTTGAGTAAACGGTTTGGTAGAGAGAGTTAGAAAAAGAAAGGGAAAATGAATTCAACATGTAATAAAAAACCGGATGAAAACTGAAAGTTTAGCGTGTCAAAAAGACAGATATACGGTCACACGCACACACACACATACATACATATATACATACCTACATACATACATATATGTATATATATAGAGAGAAATACACATATCCGTATTTCCTATATATGAGCGTGCGTTCATGTATTTAGATATATACATACATACACACATAAACACAGATTCACAAGCACATATATCTATGCATGTCTCTCTCTCTCTCTCTCTCTCTCTCTCTATATATATATATATATATATATATATATATATATATATATGCTTGTGTGTGTGAAACACACGTATGTAAAATGCATTATTATTTCAGAAAAACAATGTACAGACTATATATAGGGTATGCCTTCAGAAGCATTATATATATATATATATATATATATATATATATATATATATATATATATATATATATATATATCATTCTGATATATTCAATAGGGGAAAACAAATATTCGTACACATGCAACTTTTTTAATTTATTGTTTCTAACAAATGAATAAACATACTTTTCATATAATTAACTGTAAACAGATGCATAATAGCTAAATATGCATTGAAAGAAACATAATTTTTTGATCTAATAGAAATAAATCTTATTTAACCATTTTAATGGGTGAAAAAGTATTTGTACAATACAAAAAACAATACATAATCTTCATTTAATACTTTGTAGAATAGCCATTATTCACTTCTACAGCAACCAACCACTTCTTGTAGTTCTCAATTAATGATTTGCAAATTTTAGTTCGTATTTTGTTCCATTCTTCTCTACATATGGTCTTCAGATCTGGGATGTTTGTTGGAGCTCTCGATTGGATTTGAATTTTCAAATAACGCCAGATTCTCGATTGGGTTTAAATCTGGGGACTGACTTGGCAATTTCAGGATATTTACATTATTTTCAGCAAGTCATTTCTTCGTAGATTTTGCAATGTGCTTAGGATCATTATCTTATTGGAAGATCCAATCAGGAGGAAATTCAAGTTTTTCAACCGAAATCACTAAATTTGTTTACAAAATATTTTGATATGTTGAGACATTCATTCTACAATATATTACTGATATGTTACCCATACCTTTTGTAGAAAAACATTCCAAAACCATGATGCTGCCACCACAATTTTCAAGGTCGGAACTTTATTCTTTTGTTTGAAGGCATCACCACCTTTCGTCCATAAAAGATTTCTAGAATTAGGTTCAAACAATTGAATTTTGTCTGTCCATAATACTCTTTCCCAATACGATTTTCCCTTATCCTTATGTTCACAAATGAATTTCAACCTGCCATATCTGTGTTTTTTCAATAGCAGTGGAGTTTTCCGAGGGTAGCGTGAATTTAGATTGTTCCTACAAATTTCATTGCTTATTGTCTGTTTAGTGACACAGATTCCTGATGGGAGCAAATCATCCTGCAACTCTTAACGAGTAACCATTGGATTTTGTTCAATTTGGTGCAGTAATTTCCTCAAAGATCTTGAAGAAATCTTCCGTAGAAAACCTTTGGTTTTCAACAGTTTTAAGTTTTTTATACCTTGTGATGAATAAACTAATGGTAGTAAATTAAATATTCAGGTTGTCTGAGATTTTCCTGTAACTTTTACCTTCTTTCCAAACCTTAACAATCAGTTTTTGCGAATTTGTCAATTCTTTACCTCTTGCCATGATGATAACCTTCTTGCACGAATATCAATTACAGAATGTTCTGTTTGTACTTTTTAGTCTAAAATAACTAAAATAACATTATTGGAACATTTTAGAAAATTCTACTTGAATAATTTAGAGTATTAAAGCAATTTGAATGTTTTAAAATCTGAAATTTGCATTGTACGAATATTTTTTTCACCCATTAAAATGTATAAATGGGATTTATTTCTATTAAATCAATTTTTTCTATTTTCTATGCATATTTAGTTATTATGCATCTGTGTACAGTTAATTATATGAAAAGTATGTTTATTCATTAGTTGGAAATTTGTATGTGTAAAAATATTTATTTCCCTCACTGTGTATTTGATATATGTACCCATGTAGGTATGTATAATCCATCCATCCATCCATATATATATATATATATATATACACATCCACACATAAATATATTTATATTGGGAGTGAATCAACACACGCATAATTTGTGCGTATATATATATATATATATATATATATATATATATGAATCTACACACGCATAATTTGTGCGTATATGTATATACATACATATATATCTACATTCGCGCGCTCACACACACACACACACATATATATATACATAATAAGAGAAAAAGCGAAGAAAGAATGATGTTTACTTCTGTAAGTGCTTTTATCTAATTTGCGTTTTTCTGTAAATAAATCAACGCGATTTCAGCGTAGATCAAGTTGACATACCTATAGGAATACTGATCGATTATCAGATGACAAAGATCAACACGTCGTTCAATCAATAGATAGATAGATAGATAAGAACATAGATATATAGTTGGATTTGATACTACTGTATCTACAGATTGGTTACATAGTAAAAGTATAGAGAATAGACCAACTGATTGAAATCAATGGGTTCAGAAGAACTGCAATGCGATCGCGCGCGCGCACACACACACGCACCTATATATTTAATAGGAACAGATAGATTGTTTATAGATTGTCTTTTGAACAGGAATAGTGGTTTATTCCTTATTTCCTCCTAGGGATGGGGTTTCCAGTTTCTTCTAAGCTTTTATCATTCTCTTTCACTCACTCTATAGCTCCCTTATATCTTAGTGGCAGTATCGCCTTGCTTAGGGGAGAGTTGATTTTAAAAAAATGTGTAAAATGACACATGTTATGCCTATTACTTTGAACTGAGATGATCTTTTAACAGTTCTTTCATAATTAAATTTTGAGATATACAAATTAATCTTTCAAATAATTTAAAAAAATGAATATAATATATATAACTTTACCTCTGTTACCTTTAATAAAAATTTTATAAATTA